AGTGGGGAAGGGAGAGAGAGAGAGAGAGAGAGAGAGAGAGAGATTGAGAGAGAGACATGGATGTGACAGAAACACATTGATTGTTTGCCTCCCACATGTGCCCTGACCAGGGGCAGGGATCAGACCTGCAACCCAACCCAGGTACACGTCCTTGACCAGGAATCAAACCCAAGACCCTCCCGTGCACAGGCCGATGTTCTAACCACTGAGCATGCCAGCCAGGGCTAATCCTTTCCTTGTTCTTATTTTCCTAAATAGCTCCCCTGCCACACCCTTCTTCCTATAAAAATCTTTCATTTGTACAACCCATTGAACTCACTTCCTCAGCCAGCAGGCTCTGCTCAAAGGTCACCTCCCCAGAGAGGGTGTTCCTGGCCCCCAAGTGGAAGGGCACCCCGCCAACACATTCCATTGCTTCCCAGCACTGACCCCTGTCAAAAGCGATAGCATGTATGTAGTTGTTTACTTGTGCCCTGTGTCCCGTGTGCGAGCAAGAACTTTTTCTTTCACACAGTGTCTCAGCATTGCCTGGCCCACAGTTGATGTTGGCAGATATTTGTTGAATGAATAGATGATCTCATGCCGATCTCCATCTTCCAAACTTCCTTTTGCATTAATTAATTCCGTCTCATGTTGGTCCTGAACTCAGTTCCCTTGTATTGGGTTTCATGCCTCTTAATGAAATTTCCAGCTACTGGAACACAGGGTCTGGGTTGTACAATTCCCTGCCATCTCCCATGATGCCTGGCACAGACTGGGGAACACAGTAAGTGGTCAGTATCATTTTTTAGTTATAGTGGGAAATTTAGTTTAGTTTATTCTTTCCAATGAAGCTTAAAACATCACACATAGATTCATATGCACAGTTTGAATATTGAGTACATTTAAAATTCAGACTTTTTGTATTCAAGACAAAAGGAAAATATTGTATTTTCTAAGAGGGCACAAACACAGTCAAAAGACATCAATTATCATTTTAAAAACACGATAATGAATTAAAAAAATTGTTTTATTGATTTCAGAGAGGAAGGGGGAGAGAGAGATAGAAACATCAATGATGAGAAATAATCATTGATTGGCTGCCTCCTGTATGACCCCTACTGGGGATCGATGGAGCCTGAAACCCAGGCATGTTCCCCGACAGGGAATCGAACCGTGACCTCCTGGTTCATAGGTCAATGCTCAACCACTGAGCCACGCCAGCCCGGCCAAATAAGATTTTAAATGAAAATGATTGTTGCTAGTTGAATGTTGTTACAGATCTGATTTAAGAGCTTATTTGGAATTTTACCACGCCTCTCTTACTGAGGGTGACGTGTGGGACCACCGATGGCTTAGAACACTCACTCTTCCCTCCCTAACCCACGATGTGTAGTGCTTCCCAGGCTCCTGCCGGACCCCATCCGCGTCTGGTGGGTCTCTCCGCCAGGCTGCCTTTCTGGGCACGTGCGGAGCCAAGTGGCCTGGAGCTGAGCTGCACATGGCTAGTCTCTCGGAACAGGAAGTCATGTTCAGATGATCACTCACAGCATTTGCTTGGTCAATAACAGTATCGCTGAGAAAAACACTATCATCATTTCAGTCTTAAAGGTTTCCCTTATTTGAGAAACAAGGAAATAAAGCTTACTTCTCTTAAAAAAACAACAAACAAACAAACAAAAAGGTTTCCTTGGATCCTTATCAACATATTGAATGTGGTCAGGTTGAAAAAAGTACCCCAGACCCAAACTTTTGTGATGGTCCATAGTTAACGCTGACTCAGCAATCTTTTATTATTTGTTAAATTTGAAAGTAGAAATAAGTTATATGTAAAAGAGTGAACAGCTCAACCCCCAACATTTGTCAAATATTGCAATTGCTGCTCTTTTACCTCACAGAGTGTTTTTGTTGCTTCTTAACTTTTCAGTCCCTCATATTTTCTTAATTCACATAATTATTCATGACTCTTCTCATTGATACTGTTGTAGGCAGCAGGAACCGTACCAGGTGTCTGACGGGTGGGGTCAGACCAAACCTGAGTTCAGCAGCCTCGGCACTTGGTTCTGGCTGGGAAAGAATTCAGAGCCTAGACCCAAACTGTAAGAGAACATTTATTTGGTAAAATCACAGAGGTAGAAGGAGTAATTTCTAGAAGAAACGGGCTTAGGAAACCAGTTACGGAGACAAAGGAAGGGCCCTAGGAGCTTGGGAGTGAGGAAGCTAATGGTAACTTGCCCGGGGAGGGGAAGAGGAAGAGGAAAGGGAAAGGTAAGGAGGGAGAGCTCACCGGGTCCTCCATCCTAAGGGCGTCAGGGTGGAGACTTTAGGGCAGGTCCCAGGGGAAGGTTTGACTAGCATGGTCAGCAGCTTTCCAGGTGTGTCCTTCAGGGTCGTGGTCTCCACTGATTGATTGTGGCACCAGGGCAGGGGGGCTTTATTCAAAGCAGCTGGTTTTGTTGCTTCTCTGGGCCTGGAGCTGAAATACAACTGAGGCCTAGATGTTATATCTAGGGGGGAATGGTCAGGGGTTCCAAACCATCGGTCCGCTAGGGGAGGAAAGTCACCATGGGGGCGAGGTCCCACCCTACCATTGAGTGTCTGTTGCCAGGCACCTGGGGCTATCTGCCCTGGTGACCTTCTGACCTGGCCCGTGGTCCTTGCTCAGCTTATGTCTGTCTATCCGCCCACCGCAATACTTACCCTTTCAGTTCCTAACGTTGCATCTGCCTTTCTAGGTATTGCACACCCTTTCCGCGCTGTGAGGCACCGGGCCCAGGAGAGAGCAGAGTAGTAATGGGGGAGGCATGGTAGAAGTTCCCTTAGGCCCATGTTCCAAAAGTGATGTCTCTCCAACACATTTTAAGGCAACACATGGACCCGGTGACTGTCAAGGTCAGGAAAAAAAGATGCAGGAGGAGTAAGATTGTGGCTTTGCTTCTCTCCCGGTCAAGGGATCCTCGCCTTCCTCAGCTCAGGGAATGTCTTTGGTTGAGGATCACCTTGAAAGGACTGATTTCTAGCCATTGTGAATACCTAACTAAAATCTGGCTTTTCTCACCTTCCACTCAGCCATCCTAGTTGATTTCTTGGGGCCATGCAGAACAATCCCACTCATTTCATTGAACCATCTTTACTCTAGTGTAGACCACGGGCTCGAGTCAGCTGCCTGTCTTCCTCAAACTTCCAATATAAAATGGGTACTTTTTGTTTTGTTTTGTTAATTCTCACCCGAGTATATTTTTTCCACTGGTTTTTAGAGAGAGTAGAAGTGGGTGGGGGAGCGAGAAAGAGAGAGAGAGAGAGAGAGGCTGGGTACTGGACCTGGGGATGAACCTGCAACCCAGGCACATGCCCTTGACCCAGAATTGGACCCAAGAGTATATAGGCCGATGCTCTAACCATTGAGACAAACAGGTCAGGGCAAAAATAGACACTTCTTTATTCAACTTTCATCGCCCATACTTTCCTCTATTTTTTCCTTTGCACTTATCACCATCTGACATATTTTTGTTTCTTGTCTGTTCTGTCCTCCATGAGGGCAGGTTCTTCCTATCATTTGAACAGTACCTGGCACATTGTAGGCACACACTACTCTCTGGTTTCCTCCTCTTTCAGAGCAGCAAGACCCCTCCTCCATCCCGTTATGCTCTCTGAAGGAAAGAGCCTTCCCCCTAATTGTTTTGACCAAAGCTGTAGAATCGAGTTTCATTGCTCTGGCCAGGGCTCTTTGCCCATCCCCAACACAAGGCTGTGGCCAAGGGGGTTGGCTCCATTGTTTGGCCCCTCTTGAGTCATATGACCCCGTTAGATCCACATGGCCAGGACTAGGTAAGGGTTGGTTCCTGGAAGGACAATCAAGGACTGCTATTAGCCTGGCTGGTGTTGCTCAGTGGTGAGACACCTATGAATCAGGACCATTACTCCCCTGGTTGCAAGCCTCATGGGGTCGGTCCCTCAGAGGTTAGCGGGTATTGCCTGTGAGGAGGGAGAGGGGGAAGAGAATGGCAGGGGCATGCTCCCTGGAGGGAGAGCAGGCTGGACGTTTAGGGGAGGTGTTAGGGGGCAGAATATTCATCAGCTTTATGCTGATGTTCCAAAACGAGGTCTATTTTCTTCATCTGTGTGGTTGGCAAATGGCACTAATTGGGTTTCTGCTGTGTCTCCCTGAGTAGGGTGATTTAAGCTATTTACCCGCTGGTTGGGGAGGAGAAGTGCAAACCATTTACTCTGAAGTGTCCCTGGTTTAGGGAAAATAGGATTTATTCGGTGGCTGCAAACTGCTGTTGAACTGTCTGTTGTAGTTTCCCTATTCCGCGCGTCCTGGAATTTTCCTAGCTTCTTACTATTCTAACATTCCCCGTAACATGCTGCGTCGATCCCATGTATCCTCTGTGTCCTGGGGTACCTCCCACAGTGCTTGCTGAGCTGACTTAAATACTGCCTTACAAACCCAGGTGGTTTCCGTTAACAACCAAGCCTCACCCCCCTGAAGCCTAAGAGCCTCACCCTTACACACCCCTTTTAACACGCTTCCAGTTGTCTTCCTTTAAAACACCCGTGTTTTACTTAAAACCCCCACACAAATACTTCCACCAAAACTTGCTCAACCCTGCCAGGCAAGCAATTGCTTCCACAGTCGCTTGGAATTGGTATTAATCTGTTCATGTTTGTCTCATAGGCGAGGCCTTGAGCCAGGCTGTGTCGTTCAGCCTTTACCCAAACCAAACTGTTACTCGCCTAAGACTGGTTATAAACGTGAAAACGTCGGTTTGTGCACAGTGCTCAGACAATCCATGGCCCAGGATGCCTTGTACTGTCCTTGTACTTTTAAAAACTTTACATGTTGACTATCTCTGAGTTCTGTACTAAGTTCATATCAAATCTGTATTAGTAAAACGAATACCTCCACTTTATTTAAGGAAACCGACTCATAACGTCAAGTCCTAAACTGAAGGTTGCGTAAGGAATGAGATCACACAGGTGGACTTCAGCGATGAGCGGCAGCAGGCGCGCCAGAGGGCTTTTGGCCTCTCTCGGCCACCGTCTGCCCCTTCCTCTTTGAGCGCATGCGCGCTGCCGGGCGTCACCCAGTTCTCCCTCTGGAAGGACGGACGTTGGTGTGGGGGTGAGTTGGGTCGCTGTCGTGTACCTCGTTCGGGCTCCCGTAGCTGCCGCCGCCTGCTGCTGGCTGCCCGTGGGCCCAAGGTTTGAGCCGTGACGCCGCGTCTCGTC